ACTCCAAAAACAGTGAATGTCATGCTTGACTATTTTAAATTTTTTGAGAATTATGAATTTTGGCCAAAAATAAATGTTCCTGGCCCACTGTGCATAGAAATGTTTGGAAATTTATTTCTTAATAAATTGTATGTGAAAAAAACGTGTACTGAAAAACGCATAAAATAGACGAGAAACCTTTATGGCTGTTCATCCCAAGTAAAACCAGATGTGCGAACCTTTCAGAACAAGAAAATATTTTTATGGTTTTTGCTTAGAAATAAAAATATTTTACTGTACATAAAATAATTTTTCTAAAAATATATTTTTACTTAACATTTAATATTATTAATATAATATTTATTATATTATGATAAACATAATAATATTAACATTATTGAATTAAGGGGTAACACTACCCTAGAGTCAGAAAAAGAGACCTATATCTTTGATGATTTGTTTTGAGAAAATGGAAACTAGAATAGGATTTCTTTTTGGAGGGTTTATTAAATACATATTGAAGAGTAGAAAAAAAATTTTATTAAAAATTTTATAACAAAATGGCGGCGGTAAATTTCATAGTAAAAATCGACTATTTTTTTTACGGCCGGAAAGGTTTCTTGAACAGTTTAAGTCCTAAAACACAAAACAAAGAAATTTTATAATCTATATAATATAAACTTGAAAAGTACATAGGATTTTTTTAATTGGATGTAAACTTTAATTTTTATAAACAATTTACTTTTTATTTTTTGTCGAAAAATTGATTATTTTACTAAAAAAGAGCACCATTTCTACAAAAATTGATATAAAAAAAAACTCCTATGTACTTTTCAAGTTTATATTATATAGATTATAAAATTTCTTTGTTTTCTGTTCCAGGACTTAAACTTTTCAAGAAACCTTTCCGGCCGTTTTGGTAAAGAAAAAAATAGTCGATTTTTCCTATGCAATTTACCGCCGCCATTTTGTTATAAAATTTTTAATAAAAAATTTTTTTCTACTCTTCAATATGTATTTAATAAACCCTCCAAAAAGAAATCCTATTCTAGTTTCCATTTTCTCAAAACAAATCATCAAAGATATAGGTTTCTCTTTCTGACTCTAGGGTAGTGTTACCCCTTAATATTAAATATTATTATAAACATAATATAATCTATTTATAATCTACTAGAAACGTCTAGATTTTAATCTAACTATGTTTGTATATATATAAAATTAACTCAAATTTAACATTCAACAAAAAGTTCCTAATTATTAATTTAAACGTAAAGCGCAGACGTAAGTTTCTAGTGACGAATTTAAAATGTTGAGCTTAAAAGTGCATAAATATCGTATGCTAGACTCTTGTAGACTTTAAGTAGAATTTGTAGGATCTAAAAAGTATTTGTAAGAACTTACTATGCTCTATTAGATCTTAAACTAATTTTAAATTTCGACTCGGAACCCTTCGCTATCCCTCTCACTGCTGTCCTTGTTGCCTCAGTGTAGATGACTTCGAATCTCTTGAAAGAGTTTACTATGTATTGTGTTGGATTGTAGGTAGCCCATGTCTAGTTTATACATCACAATATACACGTTAATTGATGGTAGTATATCTGGAAAGTTTCTCAATCCCCTGGCATTCCAGAATACGATCCTTGTCTGACTTTTAGACTGCTATGACACCTCTGACTCATTCTTGTTGTTGTTTTGGTTCGCCTTGTGGAAATAATCGTTGATCGTTCCATTATTATTTAAACCCGCGAGACTATTTATTTTCTTGCTATTTCCAGATTTCTTAGCTTCTTTTGTTCTGGCTCTTTTATTATTGGAATTAGGAGTGGATTCAGGATTAAATTGATCACTCTTATTGATCACAATTTGATGTTCCTTTTCACTTACAGCAGATTCTTTAGTGAGTGAATGTAACTACTCCGGAATCGTGTTTACCTCGTAATATTTGTCGTCCATTATCAAGTATCTGCCTTTGATGGTTGTCTAGAGTTATCAAAATAGGTCTCGAACCAGCAACTCTTCCTAGTCTTCTTGCAGTCAATATATCTTTTTCATCCAAGATTACTTTTGCATTCTCGAAAATTTCTCTTACTGTTTTAAGTAAATTGTCGTTTTCAACACACGTATCCTTAACTTTAAATAGAACAATATTTCTAGCCCTCTCTCTATTCAGGAGGGATTCAATTTTTGACTCGATTCAATTCGTTCTCAACGCACGTATCCTTAACTTTAAATAAAACAATATTTCTAGCCCTCTCTCAAGAAGGCTAGAGACAGGAGGTGAAACTTCGGTAGTGGGGATGAGTCAAGAACCTTTCTTTAACCAGGCGTTTTTCGTTTCGAAAAGTCGCCGGCGCGGTGCTTCTGCACTTCACTTACACATTCAAATTCTTGTATACCATATGTTTTACATATGTGTATGATATGATTTTAATTTGAGGTTTACTTTAAAGTGCAATCAGTGCAATCGAGACACAATTGACAATGTGTGTCATAACGGATATATAGAAATAATGTGAGTGATTATTAAATTAAGTTTTATTCAAATAGTTAAAAATTCCGAAAACGTGCTGTGTGACAAGTTGTAACAAGAAGAAAGATAAACACAACACTATGACTATTACTTTTTGTTAACTTTTAATACACTTCATGCTACAGTTTACACATTTTTTTGTTTTTAAAACGTTTTTTTAATAACTATAAGATGTTTGAAAATATAAACACTTATATTTCATATTGTATTTGTATAGAATATATTTTCCCGTGTTTACGTGTGTTAGATTGCGCAGAAGTCCGTCTGGTCTACTGCGGCGAAAACTTTTTTTGAAAGTAAACGCCTGACCATACATCAGCTGAGCGACTCAGCATTGCCATACCCCCACTACCGAAGTTTTACCTCCTGTCTCTAGTCTTCTTGCCCTCTCTCTATTCAGGAGGGATTCAATTTTTGACTCTCGGTTGATAACTTTATCCTCCAAAAATGTATTTCTTGTCTCCAGATCGGGGACTTTTTTATCCATGTGAAAAGTCTTTTTTGTGCTGGCAGCATTTTCATTCGACAACACTTTTATTTCACTTTCAACTATATCCAATTTTCCACTGAGTTAATTTTTGAAATCGATTAATAATAATTTTAAATCATCATTGGTAGTAATTTTCACGGATCACAAATGAATACACAGTTTTAGAAAGATAGTATTTCTCACTACACAAAAGCTATTACTATGAATGTAAATACAGACTTTTACTTATCGAAGCGAAATAACAACACGTTTGTTAAGCTCGACAGTTCATACGCAACTCGCAAATCAAAATATCCTCAAATAACGCTCTAATGAAATCAATCAATTTTTAAAAGTATTGTCCACGTATTAGATATGCGATTTTAAATTTTAAAAACTTAGTATCAGATTCATGATCACTGACCTTAAATTTTGCTCTGAAAAAATCTTAGTTCAGGCTGTGTCGGCAAAGTGCTTTAATTGTCATATAACTCGCTAAAAGCAGCTACTTATTACGGTTCGAGTCCTCACAATGCACTGTGCATTTTGACACGCAGCTTATTTTTTAGAGCAGAATTTATTTAAATTGATAATTATTTATCTACAACCATATCGATATAATTATCATAAGAACACCCAACTCTAAAACAAAGAGTTTAAATGACATATTATAATATTTTTCACTAAGGGCTGATAAAGTCGAATTCTTCATTAGTAATAAAGAAGAAGATTTTTAATGAGTTCCTTCTTAAATTACACTATTTCAGATAATATATTTGTTATTTAAACCTTTAGATTTTAATAAAACAATAACTCAGGCACACAAAAAAATTAGTTACCCAAATCACAGATTTATATATTGCTGCGTTTTTGGGATAACTGAAACTGAATATGACCATAATTTGTTTAATTGTCCGTTTTCCAGCTACCACCTCCTTAAACCTCCTCACTGTAGTAAGAGGATTAGCATTTCAGTTTTCAAAAAAAGTCGAGTGAGTTGTCTATTCATGTTTTTTTGGGTCGCTAAAACCGAGAAACACTACCAAAAATAAATTCGTCCCAAGAACATAGGAATAAACACTGTATTCGACTCTTCGTGAAAATTGAATTTACAACCCCCTACCGGGGGTGATAAGGAGGTGAAGAAGAGGACGAATTTGTTTTAAGTGATCTTTTTCGGTTTTAGCTACCCAAAAAACATAGGCCCAAAAATACAGGAATAGACACCTTACCTCACTACCCTGAGGAGGTGTAAGGAGGCAGCGGAAAAATGGACAATTAAATAATTTTTTATAGTCATATTTGCTTTCAACGACACCAAAAACGTAGAAATACAGAGGTTTGTCCTCTAAGCCAAAAAAAAGTTCTTTTTTATCCCACATGCACAAAAATGGCGCTTTTAGATAGCTGACGACAGGGAGTAAAGTCACTCATTTGTTCGACCATATGAAAATTGCGTCCATTTTCTCCCATGTGCAAACATAACCGCTGATCCCATGCGTTATTTTTGCCCAAGGGAGAAAACGGCCGCCATTTTCATATAAGTCGAACAAGTGACTAACTTTTATTCCCTGTCGTCTGCTATCTGAAATCGCAGTTTACGGTGATTTTTGTGACACGAGTGGAGGTCGAGGGCGCCGTAGGTGTCCCTCGACCTCCACTCGTGTCACAAAAATCACCGTAAACAAATGGCTGCCTTTATACCCTTGTTGCTTAATATACTATTGTAACAGTTATATACTAGTACCTAATTTAAAGAAAGCTAGTTTATTTAGTAGTAGTAGTAGTTGTGATTGTAGTACTCTAACTTCGCAAATTTTCAAAAATTTAAGAAACCCTCGACCATCATTAATATTTTTAAAAAACTATGAACCTTCTTTCTAACAGATTGTACTTCTTTGAAAATATAATTTATTAATGATTTCTCACTCCATGTGTAAAAAGAATAAATAAATACTAGAACTATTGAAAATAATTTCCTAAATAGACTAAAGCAAATAGTTATATTTTCTTATTTTACAGTTTGGAGGGTCTGAAGCAATTATCACTGCCCTTAGTGATGAATTTCCAGTAATTGGGAATAATCGAGAGATTTTTGTTGCTTGTCTTTTTACTCTTTATTTTGTCGTCGGCCTCACTTCCTGTTCTCAGGTAAGAATTTGCACCTAACTGTAATTAATTAATATTAACAAAAAAAATTCTAGTCTTATAGTAACTAGCGCCGTTGTCATTGTTAAATTACACTTATTTTTATATATTTTTTTACAATTGATTTTAATTAATTTACTAAGCTAAGGGGTTACATGGGTCAAAACGACCTGAAAACGAATGTTTTTTTAATAATTTTTTTTTTCATAAAATAAATAAATTTTTATATTTGAACACTTTGGTATCTGAAAGTACACTATTAAATGAGAAAGATATTAAATTTTTGATAAAAAATATTAAAAATCAGGCCCGTAGCAACAGCTCTTAGGGCCCCTTTAAAAAAAAATTGCTTTTTCGGTGGTCAATATATCTTTTGACTGCTTCATCTAAAATCAAAATACAAAAAATTTTCTGTTAGTGGGTGAATATATCTCGTGATTGGACGAAGGGTTTTCAAAGAAATTTAAATTTGGATGTTTGACAGTGTCTTTTTTCAAAAGTTAAAATTTTTAGAACCATTAAGACCATGTAAAATCGGTTCTAATCAACAAAAAAAATATTCCTTTGTTCAATCACGAGCTATACTCATCTACTAACAGAAAATATTTGGTTTTTTGATGTTCAATGAACCGGTCAGAAGATATCGTGACCACCGCTTTTTTGGAAGGGTTCTCAAAGATCCTGTAGGTACGGCCCTGATTTTAAATATTTTTTAACGAAATTTTTACAAGTTACTCTTTTAATAGTGTACTTTAAGATATAAAAACACTCAAATAAAAAATTTATTTATTTTATGAAAAAAAAAATAATTAAACAATCATAAATTGTCTGGACGTTTTGACCCATGTAACCCCTTAATTAATTCTTTTTTTAAAATTTTTCTGACTTTTTTATTTTTTTAATTCAATTAGTGTGAATAACGTATAGTATAATAAAAGAATACGCATGACTGTTACAAAGAAATTTATATACAACACGGTATATTTCGACTAACTTCAACCCAAAAGTGCTAGCAATAGTACATTATAGGTGTACCGGCTCCATGAGTAGACCACTTTTCTGATTTTTATGAAACCAAAGGTAAATATTTGAATACATGTTTTAATAACAGTTATGGTAAATGTGCACATTGACCAGGCTGTTTGGTAAAAGTGAATAATCCCGTATTCAATGAAAAAATTATTTACATTTACCAAGCAAATTGGTAAATGTGCACAGTATCCATCATAGGTCGGTAAATGTGAATATGTTGTTTTGTATCGATATTAATTGATATGAATCAAACGTATACACAGAAATGAAAAAGTAAAAAATAAACGAATTTTCGATTTATAATTTTAGGTATTTATTTGCTTTAATATTAAAAACAAAAAAATATTTGAAATTTGTACGGATAATCGAAAATCTGGATAATAGGGGTCAGTTTGCTTTATATTTTCATTTTTTTAAACATTCAGACTACCTTCCTTACTTTTGACTCTTAATTGATTTCTAACTTTTACCAAACCGAATTGGTAAATGTGTACATTTACCGGTAAAAGTGGACAGAACTAAACAGTATATTAACTATACTCACATTTACCAACCTACAAATTTCTACTTTGATAAATGTGCACATTTACCAATTATATACATTTACCGTAAGATATACACTTATTTTTAATAGCCACATGAAAAAATTGTATTCGAATAAATCGTAAAAGTTTCAGTTTCTTGTCATTTATCATCACAGAAAAATTATTTGCAATTATTCTATAATATTAAAAATATCACCGACACACAACAAAATTAATTTCGAATTCTTGGACTGTCATGTGGTAGGTTGTCTTCCTTAAGATGCATTAGTGATGGGACATCGAGATCGGAAACATTGATGTTTTTCCTATCTACAATTTTTTCCTGATTTTTGAAATCGATGTTAATTAAGTGGAGAAAACAGGTTTTTTTAAATACCACCTTAATTTTTTTCTCTAGAAATTTCTATTTTATCTTTTAATTGCTCTTATCGCATTAAAAATCTTTAAACACAAATTATTACACACAAAAATAAAAAGGTATTTCAAAAATAGTAGGGTAAGTGTGGGTATTTCTACGAATTTTTAGTGTAGGTTAACTTTGCAAAGCTCGTTTAAGTTTACGAAAAAATGAAATGCAGTTTTTTCAATTACAAATTAAAGTTCAATTATTATATTTTCCAAATCATTAAACTCAAACAAATTTCCTTACTTATTTTTATTTAAAAAAGTAAATTAAAAACTAATTGTCAACACATGTACACGGAAAAAATGGTTTGATTCTGATAACCAAACTGAGTATAGTTGATGCTAGATAGATTGTTGGAAACAAAGGGAATGGTTACTTCAACCTACGCAGTTTGGTTGTATGAACCTGAACCGTTTGGTTAGGACAGAATAGGTTATTAGAACCAAACCCTCGGGTTACAGTGACTTAATTGTGACAATCCCCACTTTTTCAAATGGGAACTTAGAAAATTTCCAGACTTTCTTGTAATGTGATCAATTTTAATAGTCGGTAACACCGTTCAATAAAAATATTTTTATTTCCAGCACCAAGGCTTAATATTTTGTATTAAGACCTTGATGCTGGACACCCAACACCCTGATAAGCACAGCTTTGTCAGCATCGAATGCTCTCGACTCTAAGCATAGGGAAGCTGTGAATGAAATAATATTTATTAAAATTTTATTCCCGAAGCATGATGGGATGCAATAACTCAAGTATGTTGTGGCAATGTTGCGAAGCCAAAGGCGAGAACCAACATTCCGGCAACACTATAAAAACCTTAGCGGCAAAAGAAACTAAAAGAAAATCTTAAATATAAAACAACAAAACGGTCATTGAATTTGGGTACACGTGCATTCGTCGGAACGCATGGGCATGCGTTAGGTGATGTGAGCACCAACACTATCGCAGGCTCCCTCCGTTACGAGACTCATACGGCTGGACAAGGTTTCGAAATACTGCATACACACACACACCCGTACTCGCCTCTACTCGATGCTTCTTATTCAACGTAACCTTCCCTTCCCCTCCCGGCCCACAAGTTGGATTGCATCACCATAATAAACGCACGTGCGTTTGACAAATAACACAAAACTTAAAATACGGACAAGCAGTGCAACCCTCGTATTTGTTTTTATTTCTTTTATACGAATGGACATTACTGCAAACGCATTCAAACAAATTTGAATCATCCCTCTTTTTCCGAAAAATATTAACGACCATTATAGATGAATTATAACTTATTCATTTATAACGAATTAAATTATTTTCAATAATGATGGTCAATAAAAAAAAATTTTTTTTTATTAATAATAAATATAAATAATAATTCTTCTTTGAATTATTATTTCCAGAAAGGATCGGATTCATGCCGTTTCCGTTCTCACAGAGATCCTGTGAGAATCAGAATGATCAGCGAAAATGCAATGGCTAATGGGCCGCGAATCTTCCCCTACTCCCAAACCTTAGGCCCTCTTATCATCTAATTACCCCACCCCGAATCAAAGCAAAGACTAGAGGCTAGTCGGAATCTTTTAATTAACGCAGTACAACTTCTTGCTTCTCTCGAACAACACCTCTCCTGGCTCTCACATGGCAAGTGTTGTGAGACCAAGAACGCCGCGACTAAGCCCGTCTGCGCGTCGGACCCCCGCGAAAACTTTCCTTAAAGTACTACGCGAAAGGCGGACGAAAAACAACCATAGAATCTCCTAACCGACGGAGTCCTGCGAGGATTGTGTTTGGAAAATTAAGTGGAGCAGGGTGTAAAGTATCCTGATCAACTTAATTTGTTTTCGTGAACCGGCCAGTCCGTGCGTGTGGCACCTGCGCCGTCCGAATTCAACGGCCCGCGAAAACCTTGTTTTTACGGGTTTTATTCAGTTAAAGAATAAGAAAGGGAGTAAGGAAAAATTTGATGTTGACATAAATTTCGATAAAGAAAGGTGTGTTCGAGTCAAGCTAATAACAATAAAGACGTTTGAGAACTTGAGAATAGTTGTGAGTGAGAAAAACAGCATCAATTTTGCCCGACCGCAGATGTATATTGTTACCACTGTCGTCGGTAGTCGTAAGTACTAAATGTATCGTTCATAACTTTCTTTATTGCTATAATAATAAACTGTTCTTTTCTTTCTAAGTAACATATTTCTTGTTTCTTTCACACCCACCCTTATTCACACTCATTTAAATCCCATCAAAGCAGAGCGTAACTTATAAAAGTGGATAAACGAGCCCACAAGATAAACAAGTTCTATCTTGGCAGCTTGGAGCCTCCCCGAACCCAAAAATATTAGAACCAACTCAAAAGTTCAGAAATAATTTTTTCGGTTTGTAAAATTTCTATTTCTTAATATTTATACAGAATTAAAAAATTCTATTGTTTATTGTTTCAGCGATTAAAATTTTGTTAATAAAGAAGTTACTTTAATTGTAAAGTAACTTTAATTTATATATCTAAACTAAATTTCATAAAAACTGAAAACACAAAAACATTTTGTTTCAATTGTAATTAAATTTTTCAATAATTACATTAATAATATAATTATATTAAAAAAAATTTATTGAATGTTTTTATAAAATACATTTTCATATTTTTAGACTAGCGTAAAAATATAATAGCAAAGTCACGCTATTTAAGATTTTCAAAATAATAATAATTTTCTTATATTTTCGAGTGAAAGGGGTCGCGCAAATAGACCAATCGATGCTATTTTAAATATATTCTTTAAGTTGGTTATGTTAATTTTTAAGTTTTTTTAATATACAAAAAGGACTAAGGTTTTTCAAAATTAAGCAATTTTATTGTAAACTGTAAATAACTTTTCATTGAGAAAAAATAGATTGTTTTCTTATGGGACCATTTTTCATGAGAAAGCAATATTAATAAAAATTAATTATTCTACTAAAAGGATATTCTAGTAAAAATTCATGAAAATAAAAAAAATATAATAGTTTAGTGTGACGGTTTCGTTAAGTGT